TCCGTTATTTTAATATTAGCCATTTTAGTGCAATGAAAGAATAGTAAGCTTGTTTACTAATGATTGACAGTTATCCTTTACCTCTCACACCCACACCTCAGTGGGTTCATGCTTGTCACCAGGCAACCTACTCAGAGTTTCCTCCTTTGAATAGTAAGTTACCAACAGAAAAACTGTGGTGTTGTAATGTGTTTTTTTTTTAATTTTTTTTACTGTGATGCATTTAGGTGTATATGAAAGAACATGATTTTCAGATGGTTAGAACAGTGGTGTAAATTAGAGTGTGCATTGTGCACGTGTTGGTGGAAAAAGAGTGGAAAAAAACAAACAAACAAGGCACATGATGAGGGTCTTCCTGACAGGACCAAGGTGACAGTCTTTGTATTGACTGGAAGCTTTGGGCCAATCTGCCCCCTGTCAGGATGATTGGAAAGCCATCAATTACATTTACCTGCAACACAAGAGGAAAGACTGCACAACTAAATAGGCCAAAGGGCTGTCACAATGTTATGGGACTGATGCAACCCTTATGGCCAAGAATTACTCTTTTTACTGGTTGATTCTCCAGATTTTTCTTGGTTTCTACTCACAGGAAAAAGATCCTGATTGTGGAAATCATAAAATCCTTTCCTCTTGGTTTAAATGCCAGATAGTGCCCATCCCAGTGTTACAGTTTGAGTTTTATTGAGGCATGATGTTCCCTGTTTTCCCCTTGCCTGGAGACAAAGACTGTATGACTTCACATTCACTTCCGTGTGTGCCAACATAGAAGAAAAAAAAGAAAAACCAGCAGTGCATCACTCCTTAGTTTTCCTTACTATGTCACCTTCACTGCGTCACTATTGATCGATGGCTATTTGTATGCAAGTCAGCAGCAGATGGTCAGACTCTGAACTCAATCACATGAGCAACATGAAAAAACACTGTCATCATTAAAAGTCATGAGGGACTGCAAAGAAGACACTCTGTACAACAGAATCTGCCCTTGACAAAGTTTCTGGAACTTCTTTGTAGGTCTCAAGAATCAAATAAAAACCCTTTCTTTGTTAAAAATAAATAAATAAAAAAACAAAACAAGAGCTGCTCATTGTTTTTTTTTTAAGATCCACAAAAACATCTACATGAGCATACTCCCTTAATCAGTCTTGGCTTTAGTGTGCCATTTTCTGAAGGTAGATAGAACTTTGGAACTCTCTTCTCCTGTCTACCAAAACCACCAACTCAACATGAGCTTTGATGGTATTTAAACTTGTGCATCACTCTTATCTGTATGCTAGAATCAGCTCCTCTTTATCACAGTCTAGGTGTACATAGTGTTGATGATAGGGAATGCAGGCAGCAAGGACAGGAACCAAATGCAGGTGAAAACAGGTAGACGCCGGGTACAATACATTACAAAACAATAAACCTCGACCATTTTAGAATCTCACTTTGAGGACAAGAATGTCGAACAGTTTTTGACTTGGAGCGTAACTGAAAAAGTGGGATTGTCTGACAGTCAGCGCTCAGACTTTGATCGCCAAGATTCATTGACAGTAGTTGACTACATTGCTTTACATCAGGCAAATCCTGCATGACTAAGGCCAGTTGTCACTTACAACTACAGTGCCAAGGGGATGAAAGATGGTATTAAGTCTGTACAATTTCCTCTCTATTTGTCCTTTTTTCCCCTTTTTGTTTTGGCAACTCTGTAAACCTGATTGGCAAAAATGAACTTGTGTGTTTTAAGTGCTTTTGGAGTAGACAGTTGCCTCTTAGAAGACAGGGGTTTTTTGTACTTCTGTTGTGTTTTGAAAATGTAGTCTTTATTCTTTGTTGAAAAATATGCTGTCAGCCCTGTGTCATCTTAAAACTCTTGTGGTTTTGAGTCTTTGTGTTTGCTGTGTTTCATTTGGATCCCTATATGGCTGTCTTTGTACAAGGTGTAACAGATGGAAATTCAGGGTAATCATCTAGACTATACAGAGCCAAAAGCAGTATTGTATAGTAGAGCTGAGGTGGAGTTATGATATCTTGATGTCTCATGGTGGTTATCAGTGCAGCAGGTACATTGAACAACTGTCACTGACCTGAATTATAGTGTCATAGGGTGTAACGCCTGAAGATGGTGACACTGATAAAACTGTTTTTAAAATGCCAAAAGTCATAGAATATTTAGGTGCTACTTTGAATGGATTGACAGGATAGTTTGGAGGCATTACTGAAAATCGTGTTCAAGATGTGCTTAGTATGAGAGTCATCATTCAGCGGTAAGCCTCAGAGATTCCCATGGAGGGTACCTATGATTGTCATTAGGATGGATGGTTTAATAACTATACTTAAGGGTTATTTTTGTCATATGACATTTATGGTAAATATCACCAGGGCGTCTTCAGCACGTGATTGCTTTTAAATTAGTATAGATGTTTCACATTAATGCTCCAATGTGACGACAGATGATGTGGTGTGGAACAATGTGGTAAACACAGCACAGCAGAAACATCAAGACTCTTTTCATCAGCTGCATCCCCACTATCATTCACTATCATTCTTCCATTAAAGCAGCAATGTCTTTCCACTGCCTCCCCTGGTTAACATCGCTGTCCGTGTGTTTCACTAAACTCATAGTTTAAACATACTTAGTTAACAGATTCATTCTCTCATCAAGATCAATGCCTAAAGGTCCTTACACACCGGGAATGACGCAAATATGTGACGCGAACCTTATTTGTTTTAAATGCTACCACCATTCCCAAATGTGATATACGTCTTTGCTCACCGGCCACTTTATTAGGTACACCTGTCCAACTGCTCGTTAATACTTAATTTCTAATCAGCCAATCACATGGCGGCAACTTAGTGCATTTAGGCATGTAGACATGGTTAAGACAATCTCCTGCAGTTCAAACCGAGCATCAGTATGGGGAAGAAAGGTGATTTGAGTGACTTTGAACGTGGCATGGTTGTTGGTGCTAGAAGGGCTGGTCTGAGTATTTCAGAAACTGCTGATCTACTGGGATTTTCACGCACAACCATCTCTAGGGTTTACAGAGAATGGTCCGAAAAAGAAAAAATATCCAGTGAGCGGCAGTTCTGTGGGCGGAAATGCCTTGTTGATGCCAGAGGTCAGAGGAGAATGGCCAGACTGGTTCGAGCTGATAGAAAGGCAACAGTGACTCAAATAACCACCTGTTACAACCAAGGTAGGCAGAAGAGCATCTCTGAACGCACAGTACGTCGAACTTTGAGGCAGATGGGCTACAGCAGCAGAAGACCACACCGGGTGCCACTCCTTTCAGCTAAGAACAGGAAACTGAGGCTACAATTTGCACAAGCTCATCGAAATTGGACAATAGAAGATTGGAAAAACGTTGCCTGGTCTGATGAGTCTCGATTTCTGCTGCGACATTCGGATGGTAGGGTCAGAATTTGGCGTCAACAACATGAAAGCATGGATCCATCCTGCCTTGTATCAACGGTTCAGGCTGGTGGTGGTGGTGTCATGGTGTGGGGAATATTTTCTTGGCACTCTTTGGGCCCCTTGGTACCAATTGAGCATCGTTGCAACGCCACAGCCTACCTGAGTATTGTTGCTGACCATGTCCATCCCTTTATGACCACAATGTACCCAACTTCTGATGGCTACTTTCAGCAGGATAATGCGCCATGTCATAAAGCTGGAATCATCTCAGACTGGTTTCTTGAACATGACAATGAGTTCACTGTACTCAAATGGCCTCCACAGTCACCAGATCTCAATCCAATAGAGCATCTTTGGGATGTGGTGGAACGGGAGATTCGCATCATGGATGTGCAGCCGACAAATCTGCGGCAACTGTGTGATGCCATCATGTCAATATGGACCAAGCTCTCTGAGGAATGCTTCCAGCACCTTGTTGAATGTATGCCACGAAGAATTGAGGCAGTTCTGAAGGCAAAAGGGGGTCCAACCCATTACTAGCATGGTGTACCTAATAAAGTGGCCGGTGAGTGTACGTCTTTGCTTCATAGAGGAGTAAAATTGCTTCAAGACGTACCATTTGGTGTAAACTAACTCCCTAAAAAGCTGTTCATAGTAAAAAAAAACCTGTTGAGATGTGGTGCTCATAATGCAAAAGAAGTTTTGTTTTCCAGCAGTTCTCTGTTTAATGTACTTAAGTACATATTTTGGCAGGTTTTCTGCATGAATCTGTTGTTTACCGTTCAGTTGCTCTCTAATACAAAAAAAAAATGGTTTGAGAAGACCAAATCTGTTGTTTAACTGTTTGGAGAGATATTTTCTCAGTTTAAATGCAAATGTTTGTTGCTAAACAACAAACATGTATTATTTCATTCATTTTCAAATGAGGAGAAAAACACGGTAAACACCCAATATGACAAATTTGTTACTTTTCAGATCTTTGACACAAGGGGTTGCTGTTGAGAAAAAAAAGTTTAGAAATGCGTTATTTATGGTCCATTTGGTCTGTTCTGTAATACACACAATTTTCCAATGAGGGGGAATGGGTGTGGGTTCTTATGGGTTAAAATGCATTAGTTTGAATTAAAGTTATAAATTATACTAAGTTTGCTGTGGGAGGCGGGGTTTAGGGCCAATACTGCAACCAGTCACCAGGGGGTGCTGTTCTTGCAGAGGAACCATGTGACTATGGTTCAAATTTAAACATTATGACATCGTGTGGTGTCATAATGTTTACATTTGAACCATAATGTTTACATTCTAGAATGTGGCATAATGACATCACACAGGATGTCATACGTGCTGATGGGTTTTAAGGTAAGTAGAAGAGAGAGCAGCTGCACAGACGCTGATCATTTCAGATCTTCCTCAACGTGATTTTACACTGAGAGACAGAAGAGAGAGCAGCTGCCTATCACTCTGATCATTCTAGATCTTTTTCTAAGTGATTTTACATTGAGCGACAGAAGGCAAAGACAAGGCTACAAAGACAAACAAAATGAGAATCATAACTGCAGCCGCCTAGGGGCTCCTGAAAAGAAGAAGGCTGGAGAACAACAAGATGCAGATTGTTCGACAGACAGGCAAGACCAACGCAAAGACCTTCTCCGTGCAGACCAAAAAGATAGATGAGTATTTATCAAAGAAGAAGGAGAAGAGGAGGAGACATCGAGAGGCAGTTAAAAACGCCAAGCTCCAAAACTTGATGGAAATTGATAAACTCCGTCAAGAAGTGCACCAGCTCAATGACATGCTGAAAAGAGCGCAGGAGGAGTTGGTCACAGAAAAACTAAGGGGGATGCAGTTGAGTGCAGGTCAAACCCCTATGCTTATGGACTCAGACAGCATTGTACAAGCTTCAGTCGATTTACAGCAAGAGAGGCTGAAGAACCAGAGTCTGCAAGAAGAACTGGACAAACTCAAAGCTGCTCACCATGATCTGAATAAAAAGTATCAGGATGGTTTGGTCAGTGTCAAGCAGCAAATGAACAGCCTTCAGCAGGAACTGCAGAAGCAAATGAAGATTAATCGTGAAAGAGTGCCACAGGACCAGGCTGCAAAAAGTTCCTTAGCAGCTAAAGACAACAGTCTCCTCAAGAGCATGACGGAGAAAATGGCCAAACACCAGCAAAATTTGATCCATGCTGAACAGACTGTGGAGAGCCTTCAAGAGAAGCTGCAGAAGCAGGAGAGGGCACATAGTGAAAAAGTGTCCTGGGATCAGGCTGTTAAAAGATTCCTAACAGCTCAAAACAAGGCCCTCCTTCAGAAGATGGCAGAGGAGAGGCAGAAACACCAGCAAAATATGACCTATGCTGAACAGATAGTAAAGAGCCTTCAGCATGAGCTCAAAAGCCAAAGTCAGGCTCCCCTTGGCCAAACATCCCAAGTAGTCATCAGGTCTGTAAAGGCAGAGCATAACACCATCTGTCAGAAGATGAGACAGGAGATGGAGGTCCTGCAGCACAGTGCAATCCAGAGGGAGCAGATATTGATGGCAGAGCTGGAGAAGCCAAACAATCAGCTCATCGTCCAGAAGAACTGCACTACAGAGCTTAAAGTTACAGATGACCAGAGCCTTCCACAAGATAGAGCTACAATTCTGGAGGAGAGGAAGAAGACAGACCTTCTCAGTGAGAAGTACAAGTCTGTGGTCCTCAGTGACAAAGCACTCTGAGTACCTCAGACTTTGGCTTTCCAAAGGTCTAATCTCACCTGGACCAGAGCATCTCAGGCTCAAAAAAACAAACAAACAAAAAAAAAAAAAAAAAAAAAAAAAAAAAAAGAAAAAAAAAAAAAAGGAAAAAAAAAACACCCCCTTAACCGGGTGTTTAGTACAAAAAAAAAAAAACCTTATGGTTTTCCCTCCCATGGGAGGGTTTTTCCCCTCCTCGAGCTACCACCTTACCGTGGTGGAGGGGTTTGCGTGTCCCAATGATCCCAGGAGCTATGTTGTCGGGGGCTTTATGCCTCTGGTAGGGTCACCCATGGCAAACAGGTTCTGGGAGAGGGATCAGACTAAGGGTAGCTCAAATAGATCTCTTATGAAAATAATTGGTACTAAGTTTCACTTGCCCAGAAGAGGGTCACCAGGGCCCTGCCCTAGAGCCAGGCCTAGGGATTAGGCTTGATGGTGAGCGCCTGTTGGCACTTCCCATGGGCTCACCACCCATAGGAGAGGCCAAAGGGGTCCGGTGCAGTGCAAGCCAGGCAGTAGCCGAAGGCGGGCCCTTGGCAGTCAGATCCTCTTGCAGGAAAACCCTACCCACCTGCTGGAACCGAGAGATCCCCTTACTCTTTAGCTATTACAGGGGATCCTTTAGGCAGATATTTAACAAGACAATCCCACCTCATTAAAGAACATCCTGGAGCGGAACAGGCTGCTGTTAAATCACCAGGATAACGTTGAGGTGGATCAGGTCCCCATCCACATGAACCCTGAGCGCTTTAGGCCTTAGTTCTCCACAGGCGTACAGCAGCAGCAGTGTTGGACCCCAAGTCCTGACATCATTTATAGGGTTTCCTTCTGGTGCTAAGGTTTTTCCACATCCAGATTTAAATTCAAATGTATCTGTATGGCACTTTAATCCAAAAAAAGATGAAAAAAATACAAATTGTGTGATCTTAATATACATGCTTTCATACATATGTGAGTATGCCTGAAATAGTAATAAAAATGTATTCACTCCTTCAGGCATACTCACATATGTATGAAAGCATGTATATTAAGAACATACAATTTGTATTTTTTTCATCTTTTTTTGGATTATTGTAATCTATTTCTATTTGTGACTCTCATTCATTTCTGAATAAGGATTACAATCAACAATCAACTTATTTGTCTTGCATTAAAATCAGTTATAATCCATGTCTACATGCTCCATGACAAATCCTCACATCATGTTTTTCAACCCTGATAATGAGTTTGCAGGAAAAAGGGAGAGAAGCATATAGACATGGATTGATATAATTCAAGAAAAGAGAAGATCGCTATGACAAATATGTCACATCCGGCTTTTACTCTTAAAATATTCATGAAAAATCCCATGTGACGTATTTGTCACAATCAAAACAAAAAGGTAGAAACTGAAGCCCATTTAATAATTTTTAATCAATATATTTTATGAAGGTGAAGTCAGGGAATATTTAAACAAATATGAACAAAAAATCCCATTGGAAATTCTTTAAACTAATTAATAAATATGTATTGAAATGAAAAAGTATATGTCAAATGTAAGTCAGCACTAAGAGAGACAATCTGTTTGCAGACAACCTTTTTATTTCAATGTCACTGGTGCTCAACCTTCTTTAGTGAAAGATCTACTTCATAGGAACACTGGTTGTCAACTTTAGGATGAAAAAAGTTTTGCTTTTGCCCTCTTCTGGGCAAGTGGAACTTAGTACCAATTATTTTCATAAGAGATCTATTTGAGCTACCCTTAGTCTGATCTCTCTCCCAGGACCTGTTTGCCATGGGTGACCCTACCAGAGGCATAAAGCCCCCGACAACATAGCTCCTGGGATCATTGGGACACGTAAACCCCTCCACCACGGTAAGGTGGTAGAGGCAGAGGATCCATTGATGCCAGGGTGGAGAAGGGGGGAAAGGTGGCCATTGTGAAGTAGTAAAATACCAAATCTGTCACGTTGTTGTCATCCCACTGTACAAAGCCTGATGCTGTAGCAAATCAGACAAAGCATTTGTGGGTGGCAAGTACCACATGAGATCACCGAGGTGGCAAACCATCATGTTAGGCCTGGTCAATGCATGGTTGCTTTACCCCTGCAACTACAAACTTCTACTCAGTTATCAGTAATAATCCATGTCTACATGCTCCATGACAAATCCTCACATGTTTTTTCAACCTTGATCATGAGTTTGCAGGAAAAAGGGAGAGAAGCATATAGACATGGATTGATATAATTCAAGAAAAGAGAAGATCGCTGTGACAAATATGTCACATCCGGCTTTTACTCTTAAACTATTCATGAAAAATCCCATGTGACGTATTTGTCACAATCAAAACAAAAAGGTAGAAACTGAAGCCCATTTAGTAATTTTTAATCAATATATTTTATGAAGGTTTGGAGGAGAATTTTGACACACCTGACTATGCACATCAGGCCCGATGTAATTTTGCGACTTTCCGGGGGGAAAAAAGACAAGTCCCGGGTGGAAGCGTCCTTCAGGTTGTTATCTTTGTAATATTTGTGTCTCCTATCAAACAGCACTCTGTTCTCCAACCCATAAACAATCAGCCGGTCGGCCATGTTGGATATACCGGTGAATCAGATGTCGCAACAACACGCAATCTGATTGGTCAGAAGAGGACCCACAGTATGCGAAACTTTAGAATAGTCGACTGTGATCTGAAAAAATAAATGCCGCAATATCGCAGGACGGGAAAACGTTGCTGATGTGAACGCTTGTATTGACAGGATACGGGTTAGAAAAAAAAATATTGACGTCCAAAATAATCGCATAAATTTACCCTTTGGGGATCAATACAGGTCTCCCTATCTTTTCTCATCTCATCTCATCAAACTCAGGAAGATAGACACAATAGACTGAATATGGCACGAAGACAATAATTTTTATCTAATCTGTATTAATGTTTCCTCAGTCCCTGATCAACCAAAGTGCAGTTATGAAGCTGTCAGGGTCCCAGATGTTAGGGAGCATCTGCAGTTAGTATTTCAAACAACAATCAGGCTATTGTTGGACTGAAAATATTTAAATATTCCAATTCATACTGGAAAAAAGGAACAAATGCCTCTTGTTTTTTGACGATATGCCTTGTTGGTTGTTGTGCTGTGAACAGAAAGTTTAGCAAGTTCACTCTCAACTTTGTTTTTGTTGTTTAATGATATTTTGCCACAATGTCAACTTCTTTGACTCAGTGTCAGTTGGATTGGGACGGATGCAACTCTTTGTCATAAAGGTTGTTACAGCTGCTTTGTTTCCATGTGTGTTAAGTCATTTGATTGACAAAGCAGACAGATGCAAATAAGATATTTTGTAGATTTATTCACTAGCAGTTTTGTTAAATGATATAAAATCTCTCAAAAAACGAATACATCAGATGCCCCCCTCTCCTGCAGATGATAGATTGAGCTCTCCTTCCTCATAAGAATGACACAGCTCATAGTCAAACTTTGTGACCTGCCAGCTGAAGAGTGTCTGTCCTAAACTTCATCAAATAATAACAGATAGATGATTGCCGACAAGTTCCAAGGCAGAGATGAAAGCAGCTCAAAAAGGCAAAATCACAAGGAAATAGAAACACTGTCATCCAACCCCTAATGCCTCACAAATGATCTATATACCACACGTTATTAATGTACTTAATCAAGTCATGAAATCATTGAAATAAAGTAAACATCAGAATCAGTCAACCAAAACTATAAATAATGTAATATTACTTATATATGTTATTTGCATATGTTTTTGAAATCATGCTTGACTTATCAGTGTCCTGTCCTGGTCATGTACAGTAGTTGTATTTCAGAGATTTGACCACTAGATGGCAGATTAGGTTAAAAAAAATATAACAACGCTACCTCGTTGTCAGAATGAAACATTTCCCAGGATGTCCTGGGAAATAGCACCCTGCCAGTAAAGTTTGGGTGTTTTGAGACGTTAGTGCCACAGTCACAGCGATCTGAAAATAGAGTGGAAAGGAAAGGAGGGTCTTTATTTTTTTTCTGAGATTGTGTGTTCAGAGGATAAATGTTCTCCACCCTGAGGAAGACACTAACATAAACTAAGGAGGTTCCTCCAGAGACTGATGATAATTACATGGTGAAGTCTACAAACTTCCTCCCAAATCATGAGCTTTCGTAACAAAACCTCAAAGTGACTTTTACCTCAACATTTCAGGGTATGTGTAACTTGGTGCCTGTGTTAGTGTTGAGGAGGGCCCCAGCTGGCACTAACAGAGAAAACTTATGAGGTAATATTCCAGCAGCTTAATCCTTGCATGCTAACTGATCCATTAAAGCCCTGAAATGATCTGATCCCAGGCAGCTTTTCTAAATTACATAAACCTTATTAGACCAGTTTAACTACTCAGAAAGTGGAGCAGTCACTATACGACTGCCATATGACTCAAATCTGCCCAGAATGCTGCAAAATGTTGTTATTTTAAGAATCTCTTTTGTAATCTCACACGAAAATCTTTTGATTTATGCTTAGACAAATTTACAGTGACTTAGCAAGCCATGGGCGAAGTTTTTGTTTGGTCTTAAGTGGTCACAGTTTGGTTTGTAGCCTTGCTCCAAGAGCAAGTTTGTCTGTTTTGTGTGTTTGTTCTGATGCTGAAATATTAAAGGTGCATATAAAAAAATGTATGAACGAAAAATGGTAACAGGGGATGAAACTGTGACATTAAGCTTCCAGTGTGATTGAGATGAAATTTTTCACTCTTTACTGATATAGTGCAAACTCGACTTGTGTTACCTCAATACACTTTTCAAACAGAACTGATCTAGTACTCTATCATTTACACAGAGTGATCATTAATCAACTATAAGAAGGGTAGTTTACAGTGTTTGGCAGGCCAGAGTGTCAAAGAAAACTTCCCCTGAAACCTTGAGCAGAACCAGAATCATGATGAACAACCAGAGAATTCTGAAATATTCATCTTAAACTTTTATTCTCATAAAACTAACTGAACAACAACTCTAATTTCATAAAAGCCTACCACAGCATTATTTTGTTACTAAACTGGGATCTCAATTCGGTCATACTACAACATTATTCAGGCTATACTACAGCTTAAATTTAATAATGCTGTTATGTCCCTCCATAATTTTACCACTTAATCTTGTAAAACTCAAATTTAAAATATTTTATTGTTATACAGATTTTGTTAAAACTTAATTCTTGTAATATTTTAACTTAACTCTCACAAATTTACCATTCAAATCTTAAAATTGGTGTTTTTTTAATCCATCGTTGAACCTACAGAGCTGCTATTGATTAATAAACATAATGTTCATGTATTGGTGTTTCGATTTTTGGAACTTTTCTTATTTTTAACATTTCAGTCATTGAAAGCTGCAGTATTGTTTCTCAAATATATTTTTGAATTTATGTATAAGTGCAATTTATGCTCAGCTCTAAAATGAAGGTAAATGCTCAGAGAATTTTTGTAAAAAAAAAAAAAAAAAAGTGCAGACTTTCCTTAAATTTGAGTGTTTGTTCAGGCTCTCCTGTGATCTCATGTAGACCCTGTCCTGTCTGTTTGACAGAGAATATGATAATGACAGGCTGCCACCCAGTGGTTCCACAAATCACAAAAGCAAGCCCAGAAGTAGATAAGCACTTATTCTGTAACATATCATTCAGAGTTTATCTGTACATCTGTGTTTCTTGCTCTCAGATATAAGCTCATGAGCATTTCTTCCTGAAGACATTCATCATCTTGTCAGCTCACAGCCCGTCACTGAAGTAGAGGAGGTTTTCCTACATCTGCAGTCAGATCTTCATCCTCCCACTCCATCTGTCTCTGAGTGGTCTGCAAATGTTGCACTTTTCTCCAAACCAATTCCATTTTCTGCTCTTACAAGAGTTTTATTTGTCACTTTATGATTGATGACAGCTTACTCAGAGTGGACTGCACCCTGAAAGTAAATGAGAAGTCTTCAATCTTCATATCAAGGGATGATGTGACAGTTTGTACAATTTCATGGCACTGGTACTGTATCTTTTCTTGGTCAAAAGT